CCTCAGGTGGGAGTGAAATCTCTCTCTCAAACTCTAGGAAAGAGCAAGAGTCATGCTCTAGAGAAAGTTCTGTTCAGTGGTCAAAATATTCCAGAGTGCTGAATGCAGTGGCTCGCACACTTCGGGAGGCCGAATTCAGGATTGCTTGAATCCAGGAGTTCAAGACCAGCCTGGGCAACATAGCAAAACCCTGTCTCTACAAAAAGTTGTTTAAAAACTAGCCAGGGATATTGGCCTATGCCCGTAATCCTAACTACTCGGGAGACTGAGATGGGAGGATTGCCTGAGCCCAAGAGTTTGAGGTTGCAGTGAGCTATGATCACTCTATTACATTCAAACTGGGGCAGTAGAGTGAGACCCTGTCTCAAAAAAAAAAAAAAAATTAAAAAAATAAAAATAAATAAATAAATAAATAAATAAATAAAAATAAAAATAAAGAATTCCTGGTGATAGAACCTGAGAATCTGTAGTTAACAGGCTCCCTGGGTGGTCATGCAAACCAGTGTGTGGAAAGCAGTGTTGAGACTGCCTCAGAGAAGCTTGTTCCATGAAAATTGCGTGCAGACCCCAGGGCCCCATTTTCAGAGAATTATGCGGCTTGACCTGCAGGAAGCCACCACTGATGCCTGTTGAGTGGCTGCCTGGGGATGGGCACTCCCCGATGACGGGCAGGAGCACCGCTACACCTGGCTGTCCTGCAGTAGTTTTCAGGTGTCTGTGCCTGGCACCGGCCACCAGCAGTATCCCAGCGTCTGGCCCTGGTCCTCTAGGAGTGGAAGGGGAGAAGGGCACTGCCGTGGGAGAGAGACCTGCCATTTAGATTACATTTGGCTTTGAGGGTTGAATGGTGTGTTTGCAAAGCCAGGAATGATCTCGAGCTCTGTCTGCTCCCATAGGCCCATCAAATGGCTCCAGACATGTTCTACTGCATGAAGCTCCTGGAGGAGACTGGCATCTGCGTCGTGCCCGGCAGTGGCTTTGGGCAGAGGGAAGGCACTTACCACTTCAGGTACGACTTCGTCTCCGCACCAGGGGCTGGTCCGGGGCTTGTCCAGGGAAACGTGGGCTTCTTGACATGGAGCAGAGGACTACTTTGGAGAGAGACGTGCGGAGACCCTGTCCCCCCTCGAGTCACCCCCCTCTGTCCTGCTGCAGAGCCAAGCTCAGACCCTGCCCAGGGAGAAAGAAAAACTGGGTGGTTGTCTGCTCAGGGTCGTATTTCCTGAAAGGTCTTCCTTGACTGTTCTGTCCCTCCCCTCCATCAGCTGTCCCATCGTCATCTGAAATGTTCCCAGTAGGGTGTTTTCTTATTTCGCTGTCCGTTTTCAACTCTGTCACGGCAGTACACAGCTGCCAGTGCCTGGAGTGGTGCTGGCACGTGCTCGGTAGCTCCTGGCGGCACCCTGGGCCGCAGCGCTGCCTGTGATCCTGGAACCTGCTGAGGAGCTGCAGTGGAATTCGCTCCACTCACGCCCAGGGCGTACCCCGTTCTGGCTCTGCGTGGACGGGAATGCCAGTGCCCAGAGCTGAGCTGGCTGGAGCAGAGGTTTTCCACTGAGGCCAGTTCTCTTCAGAACAGCATCTTCCCCGCACATGTTGCTCTCAGATGTCTCTTGCGGCAGATGCTAAAAAGAAGAAATGGCATGAGCTGTTAGCAACAGGAGCCAAGTCTTGACTTAGGCAAGGTCATGGGTCGTGTCCCCTGGATGGACAAACCTTGTCTGGTTGGCCTTCCCGCTCATCTCAGTGTTTGATGGCTCGGTCAGAAAGTGATTTGAGCAAGAAGGCTGCCGGGAAGGCCAGGGAGCATATTGGTGGACGAGAGGGAGGTGTTAGTTACTGTGGCAACTTGGGAATTCCTTTGGAGGCAGAGTTGTGACTGGAGGGTGTCTCACTGTCAGACTGACTGGAGATGAAAAAGTC